TTTATGGATATGTCACCTGGGGAACATAATCGTGACAAGAGGAAAAACAAGAGTTTGGAGGACTATTTTGGTTTCACTGGCTACTAAGAGTAAATATCTTTTTGGGTCCCTAACAAAAAACACGGTCCCCATTCTAGTCCTTTACAAAAAAAATTAGTCAGTTCGTTCCTATGAAATTCAAAGTGGACCCATTTTAGTCCTTTTGAGGGACTAATATTACAAAAAAAATTAGTCAGTTGGTCCCTATGAAATTCAAAGTGAATCCATTTTAGTCCTTTTGAGGGACTAATATGGGTCTTTTTTGAATTCGTGAGGGACTACGATTTCAACTAAATGAGTACAATTTGAATTTGTTAGGGACCTCGAGACTGGACTAATATGGGTCTTTTTTTAATTCGTGAGGGACTACAATTTCAACTAAATGAGTACACTTTGAATTTGTTAGGGACCTCGAGATTAATTTTTTTGTAAGGGACTAAAGTGAGTACCGTGCTTTTTGTTAGGGACCAAAAAACATATTTACTCCGCTACTAAAAGTCTGAAATTGGCAGGATTTTCCTGGTAAGAAAGAAAACCAAATCTCTATTAATATAATGTATTAACACTATTATTATTTTATTGCAAGAAAACCAAATTGCTAAGAATTTACTGTTTGTTTCTTAATATCATGTTGTTAGAATCCATTATATTTTGTTGGAATTTGGAATAAGTTGATGGGGTGTGTGTGCTGTGCTTCATCGAGTAATAATTTGATCTAAAATTAATGTCTCACCAAGAGTGGTATTTAGAATATTGATTGCTGCACAAATGTGCAATCGCGGCTTTCTTAGCATTTTTGGTTTAATAAAAAAAACATAGAAGTAAGAGAAATAAGAGTAGTTCGAAATATAGATGTTGATTATTATCTCAAAACGAGAACGCTTTACATGCTTTATTATAAATAATATGATTCATGTTTTTGAATTTACCCTGTTTATATTGGGGCCATTGAGGGTATAGTTGCAGTCATTGAATTTATCAATGAATTACATATCATTGTTATTAAAATAATAATAATAAACCCCGGTAGCTCAGTTGGCAGCTAAGCTCCCAAGGGATTGCTTGGTGCAGGGATCAAATCTTGCCTCAAGCAGTTTCTTGAAAAATCGTACCCCGAGGGCATGGTGCCCGGAGAAGATTGAATGGGGATACCTGACTTTTTTTTTTCTATTCCTTGAAAATTTATATCGTTTTGCTCATGAAATAGTAGTGAATGTGAATGTTTAACAACAATCCTTATTATTGAGTATAGTCAAATATTGTAAAGCCATATTTTTACATCCTTGAAGTGAGTGAAAATAATTAAAATTTTAGACCAAAAATGAATAATTTTTCTTGGTCAATGGCTTAAGGAATTCTTTGTCTATTATTGGTGATAAAATTGTGCAATATTTATAGTGCTTGCTATTTAATGAAAGGTGATGAATTTAACCATTTTATTTTGGGCGTAATATATTTTATTCTATAATATTCTTTTAATTGAGTGCAAATAAAGAGCTATGATGATGTGCAAATAAATGTTGAAATTTTACCGTTAATTAAATAACCGTTACAATTATTTTATATATGATTAAATCTCATAATCGTTACAGTTGTCTCATTAATGATCAAATGTTATTTAATAATTTAATGCCTGAATTTGTGAGTTGATCTGATTATGCATATATGTATTAAATGAGACAATAATGATTACTACCGTTGCGGTATTTGTATTGAATGCAATTTAGGCAGTTATGCAATTTATTAAATTATCTCTGATTTGAATCATCATGAATATTCATTCAATATATAGTTATTATAATGTTTTTCCATATTCGAATGAGTGAGAATAATTATAATTTTAGACCCATTGTTCAAAAGCATTGCTTGAATCAAATGTCAAATATGTGAAAGACTCTAGCTATTGAGGGCTATTAGCATAAGTAATGATATAATCCTTGAAGGGATGATAGAAAATCTAACATTGGGTCAAATCATGAAACAGAAAGAAGCCAAATGAAAGTGGCTAATGAAATGAATATGACAAATTAAAATAATGGCAAGTGTTATGAATCTTATGCCATTAAAATTGATCCCACTGATGAGGCTAAATATCTTTGTTAGTTATTGCTCTTGAAGTAGCAAAACCCGAATTATTTTATCAATTGCCTATATGACTCTAATGCCTCAATATGTGATGAATGTAATTACACATATTGATATGGAGAAAGCCAATTTCAATACAATAATTGGCAATAAAAAGCTCTAGAAAAGATTGAAAAACATGCTTCGGTGAATCAAAAGGATATTAATTATAATAAATTTATTATTTGGCATGATCGGTTGGACCATCCCGGATCAAATATGATGTAAAAAATTATTAAAAATTCATATAATCATGCATTGAAGAACTAGAAGATTCTTCAATTTATTGAATTTTTTTAATAGATGCATCTACAAAATGGCCATATATATATGTCTATTATCAACTCACATCTTATCATTTGCAAGATTGTTTGCTCAAATGATAATATTAAGAGCACAATAAATACAATTTGTCTTCATAATGCTGGTGGATTTATCTATTAACAGATTTATTAAATGTCTCCAATTGATTGCTATAACATTGCCTATGAGAACAAAGGTCCCTATTTTTTTTTTTTTTTTTGTAAATAAAAGTTTAAGTGGAGTTAGACACCGGTATCCCACTAGGGTTAGGGAAGACCCCCAACCTCTTTGAGGATTTCTGGGAGGAATTACATATCACCCACCAACAAAGTCCTCACATCGGCCAGCGGGGTTTGAACCCACGCCCTTGAGGGGTATGGACCAAACCTTTAGCCAACTGTGCCCACCTTTGTTGGCTAAAGGTCCCTATTTTTGCATGAGAATATGCTATATTTTATGTTGTAGTACTTGTATGCATCATGCCAATAAGTTATCATCTCCTCATTACATTGGCTTATGGTAAGGAGCCAAATAATATATTTGATGTGCGATTTATATTCTAATTACTCCACCACAACGCACAAAGATGAATCTCATATATAGTTGGGGATATATGTTGGATATGAATCTCCTTAGATAATATATTGAAATAATGATTGGAGATTTAGTGGATTATTGTTATTAGTTTTTTCAACATAGGGAAGAAAATAAACAGTTGAAAAATACATAATGCATTATCATTATCTCATATAGATCATTGCACCAAGCAAATATGAGAAAAAGATATTATATATCGACTGCCAGATGGTTGAATTGACCAATAAGTCTAATATTCCAACTATAAATGCTCCAATTCATATTGTACATAGAAAAATGATCGGTTCCAAAGATAAAAATCCTCAAAAGGGGAGGAAAGGAGAAAATGATTAAGATGATCATAATATGGAGACAATTCTTAATCCTAAATACATAACTTTCATTAAACCTCGAGGAGGTTCAGGTACCTGAAAATAATGAAAATAAGGAGATCTCTCTTAGTTATGTCATTTCATGAAAAAGTTGGAACCATAAAGATATAGTTGTCGACAACATTTGCAAATAATGAAATATTGAGACCAAACGAGGATCTTGAAAAAAAAATTATTGATAAGAATTGCACTCTTTTTCCCTTTACCAAGTTTTTATCCCATTTGGTTTTTCTTGTAAAGGTTTTTTATGAGGCAATCTATTAACGTATGATTAACATCCAAGGGAGAGTTATGAAAATATCAAATAATGGATATTCAACTTTCTAACCCCACATCTTCTCCCCTTTTTACCCTCACATTTTTCATTTCTTGTTTGTAAGTCTATTAGCAGGATCATACTCTTATCCAACACGAAGATACTAGAATCATTATAATGCAGGTTATTTACCTGAGCCACACAAAGACAGGTCCCAAACAAGATTTCAATCACAACTGAAAGCATAATTATTTCATGGTGTTCAACAAATTCGTTCAAGTGATAATTTGGCTGATTTATTTACCAAGGCATTACCCACATCAAGTTTTGAGAAACTTTTATACAAGATCGAGATGTGTAAACTCAAAGATATTAAATAATGTTATCGTTAGGGGAAGTAAAATATGTGTTGCACTCTTTTTTCCTTAATCATGGTTTTGTCCCATTGGATTTTCCTGATAAAATTTTTAATGAGACAACCTCTAATACGTATTTTTTTTCAATATGATCATTTGGACATCTAAGGGAGAGTGTTATAAATAATATTGATTGTTGGTTGTCCATAACCGTTATGACCGTTGAATGTTCTATAATCACTGAATAAACAATTGTGGTCATTTATCATATTGTAACCGTTCTTGTCTTTTGAGCCTATAAATAGAGACATCAAAGGGCATGATAATACGACACGAATATATTTCCCCGTCTCTCTTTTATCTCCATATTTCCTCCTAATTATCTATATTTATTTTACAACATTTACAACTATTTTTTTTTCTTATTGCCTCTTATAATCATTTTATTATAATTGAATCAAAAGTAAAAAACCGGTACTTACATTATGTGATTTTTTAAACGTTAATTTAATTTTAGGTTAAGAAAAACAAAATTAATGATAATAAATGATAAGAAAAAAAATTGGTAACCATAACCTCCCCGGTAAAACGTTATTTTACCTATTTTTTTATGTGTTTGGTGTTTGTCATTTTAAATGACATAAGTTATGTCATTTTAGAAGAGAGATAGACATAAAAAATAAAAATCATGCAAGATAGAAAGTGAGTGATTTTTTATAATTTAAAATTTAAATAAAAAAAAATTCTGTGTCTGTCTTTTTTTTTTTTTTTATACCTATTTTATTTATTATTTTCTAACACGATGAGAAAAATAATAAAAGTTAGATGTTATTCTAATTTAACCCGTATTGGTATTGAAAAGTGGTAATAAGAAAAGTATATAAAAAAACAGGTAGTATCCCTGAATAAATTATTAAAAGAAATAAATGAATCTGGGTACCGTGTTGGCTCCGTCTGAGGCGTAAGACTTACGAAAGTACAACATAATTTTTCTCCAACTATCTATCAACTCTTACTCTCCGATCCAAAAATTATTGTGGATTCTTTCTCTCTCTCTCTCTCTCACAAGCAAAGGTTCTATGTCTCTCTCTCTCTCTAACTTTCAAACATTCAAATGCATCCATTGAACTACTTGTTTGACTTAACACCCTTATAGCTAATCTGTGTCATCTTGTCTTTCGCATCATTCTCACATTTTTTGCTGCATGCCCATTTGAGTTTTCTGTTAGTTCTGCTTATTTGTGCAGTCAGTTTTTGAAATTTGGCGTTGACCTCTTGATTTTGATTCACCACTTGGCAGGGACTGGTGGTTCCGTGTGTGATTTTTTTTTTTTTATCCAATTCCCTGAAAATCATTATGCACTCTTTTGTTTTTTATTCAGGAAATTCTCACTGGGAAATGAAAAGGAATGAAATCAAGATTTGAAACCGAAAATTAAATCTTGATTCCTTCCATTTTTTGTTTGTTACTTTACATTTATAATGTTAGTTAAATTTAGCGCTTTATACTTTTTTTATAGCGTTTCCCAAGTTGTGAATTTTTATCCTGACACGTGTTTTCTTCATTTGGAAGATTTCTATCCTTTTTTGAATATAGTGCTTAGATTCCATTCTCAAAATTTGGTTTATTTCCTTTTCTGCTTCAGTTGTGTGTTTCTTTTCTCCCCCTTCCCCCTTTTATTTTTATATTTTTCAAAATTAATTTGATTCTTTAATATGTTGTCTGCTTAGAACAGTAGAAATTTTAGAGTTAGTTGATGAAATGGTTGATAAGGATCATAGTGCAGAATATTTGTTAAAATCGAATTACTACCACATTATGTAATTGCATTTTACTGTTGCGACCGGATGGTTGCTTCTTGCCGTGGGTTCGAATCTAGGATCTTTGAGGAAATATAAGGATAAGATTGTAGACAATCGATCCTCACCTCTACCCTCGCGGGGGACATGCCAAGTCTCCGCTTGGGATCATGTCTTCCTAGGGCTATTCTGGATGTACAATGCAATTTCGGTAGTCATATTCCATTTCAGTTAGAAAATGCAATCAGATGTTTGGGGTAGTATAAGCTATCAAGGGGTAGTAACTCATATTATCGGGGGGGGGGGGGGGGGACTTTGCACAGAGTTCCATTACCATTAATGGGTGGCTCTGCGATTTCTTATGAGCGCAAGCATCCCCAGTAATTCACTCTTATGGTTCTTCATTATCTGCATATGGTCTTTTTTTCTTGGGTGCTCATTTTGTAGTTTTGTGCATTGGGGTTTGCCGTTTTCTTATGTAATTGCATGTTGGCATAATTTAATTAATGGGTCGAAATCTCTGACTGAATTATAGTCTGACCATTTTAACTTTGATTCTATTTTTCCTAAAAGTGCACGTTGATTTGTTCTTTAACATCTTTTAGTTTGGTTATTGGATGTGCTGAAGGAGACTTCATTAGTTGTTCTGCTGAAGAAATGGGAAATTTGTATACTGACTAAGGCTTCTTGTTAACTCACAGAGTAGAGAGTTTGTTCTATCATGAACTGAAGAAGATTGGCCCATGATAGTTTGATATCGCTCTGTAATAGGAAGACCATGGGACAAGCTTCACCATTACTTGTAATATTTTTGGTTCTTGGTTCTTCCTTTGCCACATATAATCTGGTAACAATGATAATCCACTATGGATCTTCAGAAAGTGTGGCTATTGATGATAGTACATTATTTGTCGACCCTATTACTGAGATGCCTTTGTATGTAAAGAATCGGAAGACATCTAAATCACCCTTTCATGTTGCCTTAACGGCAACTGATGCTCCATACAACAAATGGCAATGCCGCATCATGTATTACTGGTATAAGCGACAAAGGAACTTACCCGGGTCAGAGATGGGAGGATTCACTAGAATTCTACATTCTGGAAATCCTGACAACTTGATGGATGAAATTCCTACTGTTGTGGTTGATCCTCTTCCAGCAGGTCTGGACCGGGTGAGGTTACTGTAACTTTTATTATATTTTGCATATGTTTTTTCGTTATTTTCATATATATTTTTTCCAGATGATTGGCTTAATAATATTTTAGTTGTTGCTAGAATTAATCTAGTGTGATGCTGTGATCGTTAAAGTCCATTTCTTCTATACATGTTTGTGTATGTAAATCTGTGTATCTCTTCGCTCTTTTAGTTTTTTTCATTATTACAAGTCAAAGTACAAGGGATGGCATATTCGAATGAGTAACTGTCAGATAGTTCAGTATCTTCTTGGATCTGAAAGCAGCTCCCCTGATTTGATTGGAGTTTAGTGTTTGGATCCATAAGAGTATCAATCAATTGCCTTTGCATTCAACAGACCGGTTTTTTCAAGAATGTCCATAGCATATAGATAGAAGCTACCTCTATTCCCAGGAAGTATCAAAGTTTGTCAAAATCTTTGGTCTGAAAGTCATGACCAGGATGCTATTTTATTTGAATGATGACATAGTGATCGGCTACTGGTAACAATGTCATCGATATATACAATCAAATAAATACTTCCTTGAGCTAAATAACGGTCAAAGACATAGTGATCAGCTTGTCATACCAAAATGCTAAACAATTGTGCTAAATCAACCAAACCAAGCCCGAAGTCATTGTTTAAGACCACACAAGGATTTGCAAAGATGACAAACCTTGCTAGCAGACTTCCCCTGAGCAACTAAGAAACAAATCCAGGAGGTTGCTCCATTTGAATTTCTTTTGGTTGATCACCATGAAGACAATTTTAATATTGAGCTGATGAAGTGGCTAGTGGAAAATAGCCGCCATAGATTGAAAGAGCCAAACATAAATCAGTTTCGCTACCAGTGAGAATGTGTATCCATAATCTAAGTAAAAAATCTGGGTGTATCGTTTAGCCCACCAAACTGGCCTTAAGGTGGTCAATCTTGCCATCATGACTAACCTCGACAGTAAAATTCCACTAACAACCAACAACAGACTCTCCAAGAAGAAGAGAAACTAGTTCCCAAGTGACACACTGCTCTGACGTGCATTCATCTCATTAATTGTTGCTTGTCTCCACCCTGAATAGGAAAATGCATCAGTTTTGTTAAAGAAGTTGGCTTTAACAAAACAAATAGAGCCAAACACACGTGGTAATATAAATGCGTACGGGAAAATAACACAGAATGACATGCTTTGTTGTCAAGGATAGACGGGGGCATCAGATTAATGAGGAAGCAAGCCGTGAGAACAACATTATCCAATTAATGCAAATAAATATCCACTGCTTGACTTGTATTTTAGGCTCTTTTTTTTTGCTTCTCTATCCACTTTTTGTATTCCCCTGCTTCATCTTTTTGTTATTGATGTTTTGCTCTGCTTTTATTTATTTATTTATTATTGGTTTTCTTGAGTCAATACAATTTAAATGTTTTCTGACACATTGCTTAATCTTTTTGCAGGGATACATTGTTCTGAATAGGCCATGGGCCTTTGTGCAGTGGTTGGAAAAGGCTAAAATAGAAGAAGAGTTAGATCTCTTATACTTAGTGATCTCTCTTTTATTTTATAATAATAATAATAATTGACTTAGTTGTTCTGCTTTTGTTGCAGATATGTGTTAATGGCAGAGCCTGATCACATATTTGTACGTCCTCTGCCCAATCTGGCTTATGGAGGACATCCAGCTGCTTTTCCATTTTTTTACATTAAGCCTGATCAGAATGAAAAAATCATAAGAAAGTTTTATCCTGAGGAGAATGGTCCAGTTACAAATGTTGATCCGATTGGCAATTCTCCTGTAATTATCAGAAAGGTAGTATCTCGTCCAGTAACTGCTACTTAATTGGATTGGATTGATACCTGTTCTTGTAAGCAATTTTATCAATTACTGGTGCTCAAGCTTGTAAATTTCATCATTATTTTGTTGAAAGATTTTACTCTCAATCTGTTTCATATAGACTTTTTTTATTTTTTTAAGGATTTGATCGCCAAGATTGCTCCCACATGGATGAATGTTTCTTTGAAGATGAAAGAAGACCCAGAGACTGATAAAGCTTTTGGATGGGTGCTAGAAATGTATGTCTTACAAAATAACTGATAGATGTTGCAGTTTTTTTTGTAGAATTTTTTTTTTGGTTCTAGAAGATATACTGATAGTATGTTGCTGATGTTATGTTAATGGTTCTTTCTTGTTGAACTAAGGTATGCATATGCTGTAGCATCTGCCCTGCATGGTGTGCGGCATATTCTGCGAAAAGACTTCATGCTACAGGTTTGGCATAACATCGAGTAGCTCTTGATGTTATATTTGGTTTATGTTGTTATCAATTCAAGTGGTTGCCAGATATAACTAGCTTACCTAACTCTAAATTATTTTTCTTGTATGTGACTTTTCAGCCCCCATGGGATCTTGAAACTACCAATAAGTTTATAATTCATTATACTTATGGGTGTGACTACAATCTAAAGGTAAAGTATTTCTTTATCTCTTCCATTCCTTGAATGGCAAAGTTATGGTATTTGAATATTCCTTATAAATTTTCTCTGAACTCCTGAAATCTGCATTATTTTCTTGTTATGCTATGGAACTTTGCTTCAGCAGATATAAAGTTTTTTTGTAATACACTAGCTACTTGTCATCTATTATGTATTTCTTAATAGTAGTCTCAACTGTGTTTCATGGTGCTCAGGGTGAATTGACGTATGGTAAAATTGGTGAGTGGAGATTTGACAAAAGGTCACACCTTCAAGGACCTCCACCAAGAAACTTGTCCTTACCCCCACCCGGGGTTCCTGAAAGTGTGGTATGTCTACAGCTGGCCAATTGATACACGTATTTTAATTCAAAACATACGTATATAACAATTTTTCTCTGTAGTTTCATGCTTATTTTCATTTTTCCTACACGGAAGGTGAGAGGAAAATGGCATTTTTTCCCTGAGCATGAGTAACTATCTAAATGTGAAGCAGGAATGAAAGCATCGACATCTGAGAAGTTTTAACGCCAATCCAACGATTAGACTGTTGTTTTATCTTTTGTCCCCAGTGACTAATTCTTTGATTGCATAATGGAATTAGAATTGAGAAACACCTTATTCTGCCTGGTAGGGATCCATATGCTGAATTGTGTATGAAATGAAATTTGATCGTTTGTAGGGAATGATTTGACTAGTGATGGAACTATTTGCAAATAGTGGCATGATAATTATGAGACTTGATTACAGTTATAGGCCACTAGCATTGATTGTGTCCAATCCTTCATCTTTTAGTGCTGCCTAGCATTAGGATACAATAAATATCATTTATTATCATAAATATGTACTTGATTAATGTTGCCAAATGATGTTATGATTCTTTTGTATCTAATTCTAGAACTTTTAAGATGCCTTTACAGTTGCTTGTTTTCCTCATCTACTGTCGTTTGTAATTTTCTTTGATTTCTGTTCCACTTCACTCTCTCTCCCTAGGAGGGAAAAAACAAAGAAACTGAGTTTGCCCTTGGTATATGCTTTGACTCAGTATAATGGAAAGTGGCTAGGTGGAGAATGTTATTACATATGATGAACGTTTATGATTGGATTAAATCTTTGAAAATACTGGTATTTAGAATTAAGTTTAGGTTTATTCTATGTGCAATCAAGACTGGCATAGGACTCTTTCTCACACACACGTAGAGAGAGAAAGGTAAAGACTGGCATATTATTACATCATGGTGCATCTTGTTCCCCCTAGATGTAGATTTTTTCTCTGCTGTCTGACAAAAAAGATTTCTGAGGCGATTGATACAGTGGTATAATTGGTAATCACATCTCTATTATGGAGAGGGAATCCTTGGTCTAAACATCCATCCATCGATGTGTTAGTGAACATTGTTAAATAAGATATCCTTAGTGAGGGTGCCCTCAGCCTCGGAAGATATTTTTAGTTCGGCTGCTTTCTGTGTCATCTTAACAGCAATATTAGATTAAGGATTAACCTTTTGAAAGTGTGGCAGGTTCTGCAAACATGATCTGCTTCGTTTAACAGTTAACTAGTTTAACGAGAATTTTGCTTGAACGATATCTTTGTATTTTGTATTGTCAAATTTTAATGATTTTTAATGTCTATCCACTGAGAGACCTGCTCTTGCAGCTTTGACTTCAAATAATGAAAACCTTGCTTATTTCTCCTTACATTAGTACTTTTGTTGCTTTCATAGTTGTGGTTATTTATCTACTTTAACTACCTCAGTCCTCAACTTCAAGTGATTCTGAGAGACCCCTTTCTCCTTTTATTGCTTGTCATGTCTGTACTTTCTTCTAGTGTTGCACTGCTTCATCTTTTCTCCCTTTTTTTTTTTTTTTTTTTTTTAATTCATTGATGTTATTGTTATATATCTTTACCCAGTAACAAAAGCATGATACAAAGCATTAGTAACGTGTTATTTGCTTATAATAATGTCTGCAGGTGACCCTTGTAAAGATGGTGAACGAGGCTACTGCTAACATCCCCAATTGGGACAAATCGTAAATATTTTTTTTTTTCCTTCATGATATTCAAACTGCACGTTTTGAAAGAAAGAAAAAAAGTGTAGACATTGAGACAATTTTTTTTTCTTTTTCTTTTCAGTTTGGTCATAGAATGATAGATCAATGTACACTATCAATAAACGGAGAAGTAATTTTTTTTTTACTTTTTTATTTTTGTGATATTCTTGAATGATATTTGGGCTGGTACCACAATGCTAGATAATTTGTTCATTACTTATTAGCTTAGCGATTGCTTATGTATATATTAAACACTCAATGCTTTCATTGCTTTGCATAGCCCAAGACAACATTACAATTTTTTTCTCTTCCTTTCTACAGCTTATCTGCATTCTCATGTTTTTCATTCCCAGAGACAAGGAAATTTGTATTTGCTATAGGCCCACAATTTGGTAATGAAAATTGAAGCTTGAAATGCAACTCATTTTCCTTAAGATTTGCATGTCAACATTATGAAATTGAATAAATAATTTATGCAACTCATATCTCATTGGCACAAAACTTTTACCCGCATACAGATGCAATGGATTTGGATATTCTTGGAGATTATTCTCGTGCGAAGAGGAAAATGTAATTTTTATTGTAAAGGAGTGCACCATGAATGGTGATAGTATCTACTGGGTAAAATTATTACGTGTCTTTGTGTCTCAAATAAAACTTTCTCTTATCATTTTAAGAACTTAATAATATACTTTGATATATCTTTTAATACTCTATTATGAGATAAATTTATGTGAATATCATCAACAAAAAAAATTGTTATTTATGAGAATCATACAAAATGTACTCGATAATACCAAAAAAAAAAAAAATGTGTTAAAAAGAATGTGATTGTAACATTTTGTTTATTTTAATAACAAGAGAGGGAAGATTCTGGACAATTTAACTCTGACCAATCGTTCAATCCATTACTGGTCGTAATGTTGCAGACTTGCAGCTGTTAAGTGTATCCACTCAAGATTTTCCAACCTAGGACTATTGGGAAAATGACATGCACTCTACCAGTGGACCAGTTGTTACATTTTATTAAGTTGCATTTATTTTTTATTATTTATTCTGTTATTACATTTAAACATACTCAGATTAATTTCATTTGTGAAATTATATTTACTGTAAATAACATATATTTAACTATATTTATAGTGTAAGATTTATTTGTTGCGTTTTTTTAATGTGTTGATTTATATTATATGTCATGAATTACTTTCATTATAATTTAGATATAGTTAAAGGTTTCTTTTCAATAGTTTTACTTATTTATTTAGCATATATGTTATATATTTTCATAAAATTATAAATATGTACAAAATTCTGAGATTAAATCTCAATCCATGAAACCTTAAATTTCTTTATTTAGCTATGCAAACCGGTTAGAACTTAGAACTTACGTTGTCTAATAGCTTTGAATTTTAAATTCATTATTCCAGTCAACTCAAATCATCCCTATGTCTAGGAATTGGGAGATAGAGTTGTCAAAATCAGTGTCTAATTCAATTTGGTAGGTAAAGTTGTAATTATTTATCAACTATAGTAAAAGAATCTTAACTAATATTATTTATATTTTCAAATATCATATATCTCAAAAATCATTAAAAAAAACTATTTGTGAATTTTTTTTTTTTTATGTGCTATACTAAAACAACTCACTTGTTATTTAAACTAGTGTATTTAACCTTACCCAACTGATCACTTAATTTAATGTTGTTGTTTTTTTAGTGAATTTCATTAATGTTTTTTCAAGTTTCTTCAATGCTATACAAATTTCCTTAATCAATCATAGATCAAAAAGACTTTTTAAAAGATTTGTAATGCGCTTATAAAGTCATTATTATTATTTTTACAAAGCACTTTATTAAAGTCTTTTAACGTATACAATTTTGGAAGATACCATAAAAAATAGGAAAATCACTTATGCAGGAAGAAAGTGATCTCTTGCTATACTCAGTTCGAAAAACGTTCAACTATTTTTATTTAAAAAAGAATATATGTAAGGCCCACTTCATATGTCAACAAAGCTCGTCCCCTCTGGAATTAGGCAAGGGGACCCACTTTCCCCTTACCTCTTTGTCCTTTGCATGGAGAAGCTATCACATATAATCATGGATGAAGTGGAGGCAAGTAATTGGCATCCTATTAGAGTAGGCAGATCTGGTCCCCCCATCTCCCACCTTTTGTTTGTTGATGACATAATCTTCTTTGCTGAAGCCTCTCTTAGCCAACTTAATTGAATTACTCATTGCTTAGAAAAGTTCTCAAGGATGTCTGGCCAGAGTGTAAGTTTAGGGAAGTCTTGCATTTATTTCTCTAAAAATGCTGTTCAGGAGAATGTGGAAACCATCACCGAAGCAAGTGGGTTTAAGAAGGTCAGCAACCTTGGCTGCTACCTGGGTGCCAGGATTAGGCATGGGAGAATAAAAAAAAAATCACTATGAAGCTGTAACTTCTAGAGTTCAAGCCAGGCTCCATGGGTGGAAATCTAAATGTCTCTCCTTGGCAGGCAAAATTACCTTAGCTAAAAGTGTAATCTCTGCTATTCCTAGCTACCACATGCAAAATAACACCCTCCCAGTGCATGTTTGTCAAGGCATAGAAAAATTACAAAGAAATTTTGTATGGGGAGACTTGGAGACAAAAAAGAGAGCTCATTATGTCGCTTGGAATCAAATGTGCCAACCTAAGCAGTGTGGAGGCCTTGGCATTATCAACCTCAGAATCCAGAATGAGGCTTTTATGCAAAAGTTGGCCTGGCAAATAATTAGTGACAGAAATAGCCTATGGGCTAAGGTGTTGATTGGAAAGTATGGTAGGAACCAAGATCCTAATCGAAGTTTGCTAGCTAAAGGGTATGATTCCAACCTCTGGAAGAATATCTGCAAAGCTAGAAGCAAGATGTCTAATCACCTGGAATGGGTTATAGAGAATAGAAGAACTGTTTGTTTCTGGACTGATAGTTGGGGTGGATGGCAATCCACTCTTTTTGAGCTTGCCACAGTAAAACCTCTTTCAACTGACCTGGATTTAAAGGTATGTGATGCTTTAGATCAGCATTCAGTAGGTTGGAACTAGCCTTATTTGGAGAAATTCCTTGATGCTCCCACTTGCAGCAAGCTGAACAGCCTTCTTCCCCCCAATCCCAGCAAATCTGATGACTGGCTGTGTTGGAAAAGGAGTTGTCCAGGTAAATCTGTTGTTCGGAATGCATACTGTAACCTTTTGGTCTTAGAATCGGAGAAGGATAGAATCTGGTCTGTAGTTTGGAAGTGGAAAGGTCCTTTTAGAATTGTTGTTTTCATGTGGCTTGCTTACCTCAACAAGCTTCCTGTTAGAGCCATCACCTGTCATTGGAATGGGGGAGAGGTTTACTGCCCAACCTGTTATACTGATCATGAAACCCTCATTCACACGTTGAGAGACTGTACTGAGGCTAGGAGGATTTGGGAAAGATGGTTTGGTGGCAAAATTCCAAGTAGTTTCCTGTCAGCCAATGGCCTAGATTGGTTCAGGCTTAATTTATTTAAGCCTTTCACTTTGCATCTGTGGCAGTCGTGGGTGGAAATTTTTTTTGTCTTGCTGGTTCCTTTGGCAATGGAGAAATTCCACTATTCACGAAGTCTCATTTTTCTAGGCCACAAGATCCTGTCCACATGATTCTATGCTTTCTTGCTGATATGAAGGTTGGTGCTATGGATGATCCTTTCCCTTTGCCTTCTGGAATTTCGAACATATCTGTTAGCTCAGGCCAAAGGGATGGTCATTTTGGTGCTAGAATTTATGTGGATGGGGCTGTTAATTCCATGTCTCAACTTGGAGCTTGTGGTGGATTCGTTTGCTCTTCTAGTGGAGTTTGGCTTAGTGGGTTCTCTTATAACATAGGCCCTTGTACCCCACTGGAAGCTGAGCTTTGGGGTATCCTGCATGGTCTCAAGCTTGCCTCTAAGCTTAACGTTGCTTCTGTCTGGCTTGGGTGCGATTGCAATAATGCCATTTGCTGTTTGGAGGATAAAGCAGACCAGTTCGGATTTTCTTCCCTTATTGATAGCATCAGGAGAACAGGACATCTCTTTGAGCACGTCACCTTGGAGTCCATTCCTAGGGAATCTAATGGTTGTGCTGATGGGTTAGCTAAGCTAGGCTTCTTATTCACAGGGGATGAGTTGAGGGTTCACTCTTCCCCCTGCTAGCATTGAGCCTTTTTGGATTTCTTTTGTTGATAACTTGCTGGTGGAGCATGTGACTTGTAACATGCACCAGCTTTCTGTTTAGTTTTTCTGGGCTAGGCCCTCCATTTATATCAAAAAAAAAAAGCTCGTCCCCTCTGTCATAAGAAAAATAACGCCCTAAAACATATTACCTCATGCATAAATACTTATCAAAAACTAGTTTATGCTAAGTACCCATAGCCCTTTTATAGCTGTCAACAAGTGTTATTTTGTGTTATAATTCTTGGTACATAGTTGCTCAAAGATCGAAGAAACAAAAGGGAAAACATAAAAAACATTAGACACCAGAATTTACGTGGTTCAAAAACTCGGGTTAAGTGAATTTTCAACATTTTAAGGAAACTAAAAGGGTTAAATGCAGTGGCAGAGCCACATAATAACTGGAAGTGGCCTCGATCCGAGCTAAATTTTAATAAATTATATTTATTATATATAATTATATAATTAATTATAACTTTGCCCATATTAAAATTATAATTTGACCTGGGCTAAAATTTGTATTTGGCCCTATCTAAAAATTAAAATATATTTGGTAAGAGATTTGGGTAAATTGTATTAGGTTATGTGTTCAATTCTCACTTGTATAAATAAAATTAAAAAATATTTAATAAAATTAAAAAATATTTAATAAAATTATAACTTTTCTTAGTGTTGCCTGATCAGTTGCTTTGTATTTAACATAATTTAAATATATTTAATATGAACTAATTAAAATTAAAAACAAAATAAATACATATATAATTTTTGGCCCGGGCTCAAATTGAAGCCCGGCTCCGCCACTGGTTAAACGTCATCTGATATGCAATTTTATTCGATAACAAAAATAGGTACAAGAAAGTTTAAGAGTCCTAAGCATATAACCCTACATATACAACATATACGAACCATATATAGAGAAAGAACATAAAATATACAATATAT